AAATGGAGTGATGAGAAGATATAAAAATCAAAAAAATGGAAGAATGTCATCTAGAAGAACCAGACAATTCAATGAACATGACAAAAATGATGGAAAATATTTCGAATGTGGAATGTATGGCCATGTTCAAGTTGAATGTCCAGAGCTCAAAAGGAAAGTCTCTAGAGGTTTTACCAATAACAAATCCTTGGGAAGCTGGAGTGATGAAGATATCTCAGAACATGAGGAAATAGCAAATTTATGTTTCATGACTAATATTGAAAAATGATATGAACAAATACTCTGGCTACTAGACTAATGAAGACTATCAAACGATGACAACAAAGAAGAAACTGAAAATTGCCTCATGGCACGCGGAGAAACAAGTGAGGAACACCACAGGAAAAGTCGAAAGGAAAAATAGTATCTTGACAGTGCATGTTCCAGTCACAAGATGGGCGACAAAAATCTCTTCAAAGAAGTCACCACAATCAACGGAGGAAATGTCAAGTTTGGTAATGACTCTAAAGGAAAAATTGTTGGTAGCGGAACAAGTTCAGTTAACAATAACTATGAAATTACTGAAGTTTATCTTATAGGCAGACTAAAATACAACCTGCTAAGCATCTATCAACTATGCAATTCTAGATATGAAGTGAAACTCAAGAAAACTAGGTATGATATTGAAGATGAATCAGGTAAAATCATTCTTTTGGGAAAAAGGTACAAAAATGTCTATATTTTAGATTGCATTGATAATATGGATATTCATATCTGTCTAGCATCCATCACTGATGATCCTTGGCTTTGTCACATTAAGCTTGGTCATGCTAGCATGCATTTGATTGAAAAACTATCCAAACATGAATTAGTTATTGGCCTTCCTAAGCTCAACTATTCTAGAAATCATGTATGTGATGCATGTCAGCTTGGTAAGCAAACTAGAACTTCTTTCAACCCCAAAGATATTGTTTCCACAATCAAACATCTTCAGCTTTTTCATATGAATTTATTTGGACCAACTAGAATTGCCAGTATAGGAGGAAAATGTATGCTTTCGTTATTGTTGATGACTACTTATGTTTTACTTAAGTAATATTTTTTGTCTCACAAAGATGAAGCTCTAAAAAATTTTGAGATCATCTGTAAAAAGATAGAAAGGGAAAAAGGTTACCTTATCTCAACCATTCAGAGTGATCATGGAGGAGAATTTGAAAGCAGCTCATTTGAGGAATTTTGCAATGACCAAGAAGACACTCATAATTTCTCAACACCAATGTCACCACAGCAAAATGGAGTAGTTGAACGTAAAAATAGAACTCTGCAAGACATGGCTAGAACATGAAACTGGAGCATTCCCTACCAAACTACTTCTGGGAAGAAGTAGTCAGCATAGCACGTCATATACTAAATAGGTGTTTGATTCGACCCGTTCTAAAGAAGACTCCATATGAACTATGGAAAGGCAAGAGACCTAACATTGGGTACTTTCATCCCTTTGGAAGCAAATGCTTTGTCCACAATAATAGTAAGGATAACCTTGATAAGTTTGATCCAAGAAGTGATGAAGGTATATTTCATGGTTACTCTAATAATAGTAGATCTTTTAGAGTTTATAACAAGCGTACTCTATGTGTAGAAGAATCAGTTCATGTTGTTTTTGATGATAATTACTCTATGGCTGAGAAAGCAGTCCTTGCAGGTGATGAAGATATCAGCCAAAAATAACCCATGATCAATAAACAGATCGATCTAAAAGAATCAGTTGATAGTGGAAATGAAATCTCAAAGTCGACTAATGAAGCTACTGGCGAGCATGCTGAATCTCAAGCTAAGTCGACTACTCAACATGCTAAAGCAGTACCAAACGAATAGAGAAGCGAAGCTGAATATCTACAGAAGTTTATCATAGGAAACCCAAATGACGGAATGAAAACTAAAGGAGCTCTAAAGAAAAACACTAACATTGCTCTCATATCTCAGATGGATCTAAAGAAAGTCCATGAAGCTTTGAAAGATTCAAGTTGGATACAAGCTATGCAAGAAGAACTTGATTAGTTTGACAAAAATCAAGTTTGGTCATTGGTACCTAATCCAGCAAACACAACAATTATATGAACCAAATGGGAATGCAGAAACAAGTTGAGTGAAGAAGGCAAAGTCATCCAAAACAATGCAAGGCTAGTCGCACAGGGATACTCCCAACAGGAAGGAGTCGACTATGAAGAAAACTTTGCTCCGGTGGCTCGGTTAGAGTAAATTCGTATTTTACTTGCATATGCTTCTTTTAAAGGTTTTAAATTATTTCAAATGGATGTTAAAAGTGCATTTTTAAATGGTTTTATAGATGATGAGGTATATGTTAAAAAACCTCTTCGATTTGAAAAGTCACAATTTCCTTACAATATGTTTAAGTTGACTAAGGCTCTCTATGTGTTAAAACAAGCACCTAGAGCCTGGTATGAAAGACTAAGCTTATTTTTGGTTAGTAATGGCTTCTTAAGATGTAAGATCGACACTACTCTCTTTATCAAAAGGTCATCATAAGGTAATATCATTATTCAATTTTGTGTTGATGATATTATATTTGGAAGTGCTAACCCTGCCTTATGCAAGGAATTTTTACATCTCATGCATAGCGAGTTCGAAATAAGCATGATGGGAGAACTGAATTTTTCGGTGGACTTCAATTCCATCAATCAGACGAAGGTATCTTTATATGTCAGACGAAGTACACGAAGGAACTGATACAAAAATTTGGAATGAGCAATGCAAATGCGCTTGGAACTCCCATGAGTCTAGCTACATCTCTTGAGAAAGACGAGGAAGGAAAACTGGTGAATGAATCACAATATCATAGAATGATTGGATCTCTATTGTATTTAACTGCCATCCTGTCACAACCCAATTTAGGATCGCGACCGGCACTTAGGAGCAAGTGCCCTCAAGTAAGTCTCATCAAAATTTTATAGAAGGACAGACTTTCCCCTATTTTTGGACTATCCGAAAACTTTCCTGTCTCAAAATAAACAACCAAATACCCTAATATCAATCCAAACAACACTAACTTTATCAATTACCCAAAACAAATCTCTACCATTAATAGTCCACCCACTAACAGCTAGAAATACTATGTCATCACCAAATTTTATAAGAAAGTGCAATACTCAACATAAGTCTATAATAGCGAAAGAATACTTATGACACTAAAGGAATGACTTTGGAGCGACTCTAAGAGTTCAAATAAAAGACCATAATAATTAATTAAACTTCTTGCCCACATGAATAAATACGGGGCTTACCAAGAACTATCAACCTGTGCACTTTAATTAACGAAATCCTCGCCTGCGTCAACTATTGTCTCAATAAAAAAATTAGCGGGGAGTGAGTCGCTAGCTCAGTGAGTAACAACACTTAACCACAACAGTTTTTATTTGAGACAAGTAAGAAAGCATGTTTGTATAATAGTAATCAGAACTATCATAAAAATAAAATGCCCTCTAAAAATGATAAATATAATCAATCTATTCATATGCTTCTTGTAACAGAGATCATTTTAACAAATCAATAATAAACTCGGTAAACACTGTCTCATAGCAAATCTTTATATTTGGGAGGTTTCCAAGAAAGGATCTTGTAATATGTATCACTGTGTGGACCCCTTCGTAAAAAGAGTCAAATATAACTGTAGGTCCCAACTCGGGGGAAAACTATAACTATATGCTAGTTCTACCTTCCCACTAGCGAGGGATAATATTGTACTCGGTAATCGGCGAATACAAGGTGCACCAGGTCTAACGAACCCGCCGTTAACTACGGGATCCTTCAAAGTCTCCTCCCATTAATACTCTTTCTTGTAAACAGTCAATACTTGTATGAAAGCATTTTCAAAATAATAAAGGGCATATTATTTCTTATCAAATCATGTAATTTTATTTCGGTAACTATAAAAATATCTAGTAACAACGAGAATATTTAAAACAATAATAATCATCTCAAATAACCATTTGGGTATTATATCAAGAAAAGGACTTGTCCCACATGCAATTTCAAAGCATTAGTAACACATTTATTTTCAAAATGATATATAAACCATGCAGGTTATGAAAACACAAATTGCGGAAGAGTTACTACTCAACGTACTCGTGCAGAAATACCAAATGCTTCACCTCGAGCAATTTGTACAACTTCCTCCAACCAATGTTTACATAATATCGATCTCATGATAATTTCCTTGTATAGTCTAATTCATAGCTAATTTAGAATACTCAACCCTCGGGGTTTCATATTTGACTCTTAATAATTTGCTAAATTATATTTACCCTCGCTATGAGTAATTACTAATCTATCAACTCCAACCTATTCATATAATTTATTAATCCAACTCCATAAAGTTCTATGGATTCTTCAGGAAGAAAATTCTCAATTACGTGAATGAACTAGTGTAATTTCTATTACACTATAGAATATTTTAATCGTGGGAAACGAAATTAAAATCTACTAGAAGAAGAAGCTCAAGTATTACCCGTCAGACTCAGTTAGTGCTTAAGATTCCTCAACAGTTATAGCTATGGATCCAACGCACTGTATCAACTTGTTCTTCCTCCTCCTTTTCTCTTTTCCTTCTTTCTTTCTCTGATCGTTTTTGTTTTTCGTTTTTCCTGAAGCTTTTTCTTCATTCCCCTTCCCCTAACCCTTTTCAATTTTGCAGATAGGCTTCTAATGGGCTTCCGCCCTTTTGTTTCAATTCCTTTTCCTTTTTTTTTTGTTTTATTAGTTAGTTCTTTTTTTCCCTTTGGACTTAAATTTTTTTTTATTAAATATCCAATATGTTCTTATTTAAAATACTGGGATATTACGTCCTCTCCACGTTATGAAATTCGATCCCCGATTTAACTAAAATACGTACCCGTAGACTGAAATAAATGGGGATACCTGACTCGCATAGCATCTTCCACTTCCCATGTTGCTTCTTAAACTGTATGGTTTCTCCATAAGACTTTCAAGAACACAATATTTTTTTACCGTAGCTTTCTTACTTGTCTATGAACAATAACCATCGGTTCCTCCTCGTAAGACAACTTTTCGTCAAACGGTATAGTCGGTGCTTCAAGCACATGAGAGGAGTCCGACATACATTTTCTAAGCATAGAGACATGTAACACTGGATGAATAAAATACAACTCAGGAGAAAGTGCCAAACGATAAGCCAAAGCTCCCACTCGGTCTAGTATCTCATACGGTCCTACAAACTTGGGGCTCAGTTTACCTCTTTTTCCAAATCGCATCATACCTTTCATAGAGGAGACTCGTAGGAACACTTTGTCCCCAATTTTGAAAACTAAATCTCTTCTTCTCTTATCTGCATAAGACTTTTGTCTGCTTTGAGCTGTGAGAAATCTCTGCCTAATTAATTGAACCTTGTCAATAGCTTCTTGTACTAAGTCGGGTCCTAATAAGCTAGTCTCACAGCCTTAAAACCATCCAATAGGAGAACGATATTTTCTACCATACAATGCTTCGTATGTTGCCATTTGAATACTGGACTAGAAGCTATTGTTGTAAGCAAATTCAGCTAAAGGTAGATAAGCGTCCCAACTACCTCCAAACTCAAGAATGCAAACTCTCAACATATCCTCCAAGATCTATATAGTACGTTCAGATTGCCCATCTGTCTGTGGATGAAATGCAGTACTAAGATCTACTCATGTACCCAACGCTTCTTGAAAAGATTTCCAAAAGCATGAAGCTAATTGCAATCCTCTATCAGAGATGATTGATACTGGAACTCCGTGAAGCCGGAAAATTTTGTGCTGATTTTGTCACTTGATCTACAATCACCCATACAGAGTCATAACCTCTAAGAGTTTGTGGTATCCCGGTGACAATATCTATAGTAATTTTTTCCCATTTCCAATCTGGAATCTCAATTTGTTGTGGTAGTCCTCCGGGCCGCTGATGCTCAGCCTTGACCTGCTGACAAGTCAAACAATTAGAAACAAAGTTAGTAACATCTTTCTTCATACCTCCCCACCAATAAAATTGCTTCAAGTCATGGTACATTTTTATGGATCCAGGATGTATAGTGTATCTTGAGTTGTGGGCTTCTTCAAGAGTGGCTTGTCTCAACCCATCTATGTCTGCTACACATAGGTTGTCACCCATTCGAAACACCATCACTTTCAATAATCATATCTTTGCTTTTACCAGCTAAGGCCTCATCTCTGTATTTGCATAATTGCCCATCCTCATATTGGGTCGCCTTAATGGGCTCAACTGATGAAGACTTAACTTGAACACAAGCTAACAATGCCTCTGAATTTCTGACACTAAATCTGATACCTTTACCTTCTAGTCTCTGAAAATCTTTGGCCAAACGTCTCTTTGTAGGATCTATATGTGCGAACTCCCTATATATTTTCTACTCAATGCATCACCCACCACATTGGCTTTTCTAGGATGATACAAAATAGAACAGTCATAGTCTTTGAGTAGTTCCATCCAACGACGCTGCCGAAGATTCAAACCTCTTTGCTGAAAAATATACTTCAGACTTTTATGGTCAGTATAAAAATCTCACAAGTTTCGCCGTATAGGTAATGCCTCCAAATTTTTAGAGCAAATGCCACTGCATCCATCTCAAAATCATGTGTAGGAGAGTTTTGCTTGTGCTTTTTCATCCGTCTCGAAGCATAAGCTATAACGCGGCCATTTTGCATGAGAACAAATACAAAGTTGCTCAATGCTAACCTCGTCTACTATGAGGGCTCATCAAACTTATTGTCTATACCTACAGGTATGAATGCAATGTCCCCAACAAAAAGACGTCAATACGAATAATGTACTGAGTATTTGAGGCGGAATTGAAACATAACAATAAGTCAACATTAATTAAATACATATAAGAATCAACCTGAATCTCTAAAGTGCCACCGTATATTCATACTATTATCCATATCTTATGATGCATGACTACTCAACTGATCAGTGGTAACTGCCCAATGGGCCGTAGCTCGGTGGTATATAATAATACATAACAGCCCAACCGGTAGTAACTGCCCAACCGATCGTAGCTCGGTGGTAAATGCATGACTTCCCGACCAGTAGCATGGTGGTAAATGAAGATGCATGTCGCCTAACCGTCCGTAGTACGGTGGTAAATGAATATGCATGACTTCCCAACCGGCCGTAGCACGGTGATAAATGCATGAAGATGCATGTATCACTATATTATAAACATTAACATCTTTATAAAATACCTCAATAGAGAGCTAGGAACATACTTAGACGCGCTTGAATATCATTTTACAGAAATGAATAACATAGACATCCTTAACTGCTAAGAGTAGAACCACTTATGGAATATTATTATGTTTACGTACCGTTACTTGGATCATGCCAAAAAGAAAGAAGGACTAGGCTTAACATATCTAAGTCGATTCTCATGAAAATCCCTCTAACGCACGTTAATTATGACAAAACATGTGACGGCAAGATCAGGGTAGGGAAAAATTCGTAAAATATTCTTGAGAAAGATTGCACCGTACTCCCTTATAATTGCAATATATAACGTTTTGAAATGTTAAAGATGCTATGAAATCTCATGTTTTGAAGGAAAGGTTGAAGCAACTCACGTTGCTAAGATGATAAGGAATATTTGGTCGAATTCTTGTTAAAGATCCGTTGCCTACCATTTTAATATAAGCACCTCTCTTTGCATTAGAGAGTTTTTATGCTCTAATAGGTGTGGGCCCCACATCTCAAGGCTTGGTGTCACGTAACCCCCTTATATATGCCACCTTTCAATCTCTTTAAGAGTCATAAATGGGGATGGGGGGTTCTGCCAAGTTAGGGGGTTTAGTCTTATCCAATTGTCACGACCCAAAATCCCACCATAAGTCGTGATGGCACTTAGTCTCTAAAACTAAGTAAGCCAATTATAATAACAATTCAAGCCATTTTTATTCTAATTTATATATAATCAAAACCAACAGAGAAAATAAAGATCCAATCTCCCAAGACTGGTAGTACTGAGTCACGAACTCTAACTGAATACATGAAATGATATGAAGGAAATTAAATATACAATACTGCTCGAATAATAATTAACGGTATGATAAAAGGGAAAGACTCCAAGGGACTGCGACGACCAAGCAGCTCTACCTTGAATATAGCCACCCTTATCGCTCCTATAATAGCCACCCTTATCGCTCCGTATAATAGCCTCCCTTATCGCTCCGTATAATAGCCACCCTTATCACTCTGCCCAGACAATATCCCAACACACATAACCACACTGAAATGCCACCCTTATACCCACGTAATATCCACAATGGAATGCCTCCCTTATGTCCTCATAATAATGACTCAAATTACACAATAATTTACACGGAATATTATCACAACAACACCATACAACAATTCATATCACAAATTGTCCATAAGCCACAATCAATTCCAAAGATACAACAAAATCAATTAATTTCACAACAAAAAGCCCAAGGCTCCACACAAGGTATATAAAACCTCAAAACAACAACAAGGATGGAAAAATAATTCATCATAGGACAACACCTTCTTTAATCCAAATTTTCGATAATTAAATTAATGCCTCTTCTTACCTTATTTAATTATTTGCACACGGAAAAATCTATAATATAATTAGTTCCAGGAAATACCAAATCAACAATCACACGAAATTCACAAAAATTTCCAAGTCGCAATCACACCGAATTCTCTTATAAATACAAATTCAACAAAACAAACACTGAGGCATGACAATTCAAGGATTTACTAAGTTTCCACAATTTTTCAATTTAATACTTAAGGGTGTCTACAATTTTCAGCAGGCATAATTTGCACATATAAATAAAGTACGTACTCGTCACCTCGCGTACATAGTTTTTCATTCAAACAATTTCCACATAAGACTCAATGCCTAAGGGGAAATTCCCCCACACAAGGTTAGGTAAGATACTTACTTCAATCCGGCCAATTCAATACTCAATTTAGCTTTTCCTTTACCAATTCACCAACACTCAACTCAATCTAGCCAAAAACGACTTGAATACATCAAACAATGCAAGAGAACACAATTTCAATTTAACAACACTATGATTCTTATACAATTCGCAAAAAGTCAACGAAAGTCAACTCCCCGGGCCTGCACCTCGAAACCCGACAAAATTTACAAAAACCTAATACCCATTCCGGTACGAGTTAACCCATACCAAAATTATCCACTTCCATTGCCAATTGGTCCTTCAAATCATCATTTTACATTTTTGAAAGACTTTACAAATTTTCCCCAAATTTCATCCCAAATCACGAATCAAAAGATGAATTCAATGATAGATTCATGTATTTAACCAAATCCAAGTTAGAATCACTTACCCCGATGAATTTCTTGAAAAACCTTCAAAAAATCGCCACAGACCGAGCTCCCTAGGTCAAAATATGAAATAAAAACCCCAAATCTCGTATTTATAATGCACCTTCCGGATTCCCTCACTGCTGACCGCGGCAAATCGCCGCTGACCGCGGTGGATGTTGACTGCAGAGGCAAGCTTTTGTGTTTTGGCCATAACGTTCGATAAAGATGTCCAAATGCCTATTATAATATGTTTCTGAAAACTAGATTCAAAGTGCTACAACTTTCGTTTTTGAATCATCTCAAAATTTCGTGTAGATCGAAAGATATAGGCTTCCGAAGTTGGACCAACGACCTGCGGATTCTACATGACCGCGGACCGCGGAAAAACCTCCGCCTCAGCGGTAAGACCTCCGCCTCAACGGAAAGACTTCCGCCTCAGCGGTAAGACTTTAGCCCCTAGCGAAGATTTAAGCATCATATCCATTATCTAAGTTCCGGAATGTCCGCACTCGCTCAAAACTCACCCGAAACACACCCGAGGCCCCCCGAGACCTCAACCAAATGTACCAACACATCCCATAACATCATTAACATCTAGTCGAGCCTTCGAATTACTCAAAACAACACCAAATCCATCTCGGGTTCAAGCTTTTCCAAAAATCTTCTATTTTCCAACTCTCGCCGAAATGCCTCCAATTATCTTACGGGCCTCCAAATCCAAATCCGAATGCATGCCCAAGTCCAAAATCACCATACAAAGCTACTGACATCATCCGGGGTCGTTTACTCAAAAGTCTAATTCCGGCCAAACTCTCACCGCTTAAGCTTCCAAAACTAGATTCCTTCTTCCAATTCGACTCCGATTCATCCGGAAAAAGAATCCAACCACGCACGCAAGTTGATACAGATAATATGAAGCTGCTCGTGATCTCAAACTGCTCAACCAGATGCAATTGCTCAAAACGACCAGTCGGGTCGTTACATCCTCCTCCACTTAAACATACATTCGTCCTCAAACGTGCCCGGAGTCGTTCTAAAGCCATCGAGCCACTGCATGAGCTCACCATGCAAACACCCGGGGCGATTCCCCATCACCCAAACCTATGTAAGACTGACCATTCAACTTAACTGAAGGTCTCACCCCATCCTTAGTCCATAACCTTAGGACAGGACCCAAACTTCAACATCTGACATTCGTCATAGGACCTGAATTCTACATCATCACACTGCATTAGTCTCATTTCAACACACATCAACTTCTAATAGCGCTTAATTACTTCGAAATTTTTCCGGGCTGTACATTCTTCCCCACTTAGGGTCATTCGTACTCAAGTGAGAAGTAGAGTCCGCCCTCAAACACATAACATAACTTATCTCTTTCTTCGCACATCTCAATGTCCCAAATTTTTCAGAAATTTCGGCAGAGTCTCCCCTGTAATTGGGCCTAACCACCTGCCAGAGTAACACCAAAACGACTCCTAACAACACATCCACAAACCAACCAAGCACCACAATGTATATATCAATAACACTAATCTCAGCATTACAAGCACTGCATTATCATAATGATATTTGGACGTGAAACACATCATATGTATGCCCATAACCACGTCTCTGGTCTTAATAGTTGTTTATAAATCACAACATTGCCAATTAACCTCATGTTAACAAAAATCTCATTTCAAACCTCCACTTTACTAACAACGAGGCACGAGGCATGAAGACCTCATAATTATTTACCCGAATTAACGAGTCACATTTTACGCCACCTGGGCACTCACCTCATAGGCTAAAACTCAATAATCACAACACGAATTTGGCAGAATATGCACAATAACACATAAAAGAATTCTCAAATAATCCTAACAAGCATGACTCCCTATTACTACTATAGTACAAATTATAATTTCACAAAAGGGAGAATTTAAACACATAAATTTTCATCACAAGGATCTCGTCCTTATATAACTTCCATCACGGCACATAGCCCATTTTAAATATTTCACATCATATAAAAATGTGAGGATCTCGTCCTCAACTCTGAATTACAAGTATTTGCACATTGTGCCAGCTGAATTCTTTTCTTTTCTCTTGTCATAAATTCCGATAAATAATTTCACAACATATAATGGACCCCCATACCAATAGGGCATATAATTCATAAAACTGAAATCAATTATTCCGTAATCACATTAAAATCCACTATAGTGAGTAATAGAAAGTCACGTTCATACTTATAACTCTCAATAGTGTGAAAATAAAAATAGGAATGATAGACACGGGCTAACAACATCAAATCTCCTAACAAAGATAAACATTTTAGTGGGTCACAAAATAACAATGCTCACCATAAGTGGCACATAATAGGGGGACTCGCCTCAATATTCACAACTAAATCAAATTCATGAAAAGTATCCTTTTATAACAGTTCGAGGTCATACCTATAACGACGCCATAGCAAATATATCAATGGAATGGGCCTCCCCCTCTGGGGCTCCCTCTACCCGCCTGCCCTCCACCCCTAACAGGCTTAGCATGTGGGGCAGCAATTGCATTGGGGCCCGTAGCCTGAGTGTTTTGATGAAATCCACCTCTCCCAAGTCTGGGACAATATCTCATGATGTGCCTAATATCACCACACTCATAACAACCTTTCTGAGGTCGTGGCTGCTCGTATTGAGTCTGTGCCGGATAAATGGAATAACCACTATAAGAACCTCGTGTCGGTGGTGCACTATTAAAACTTACTGGAGCAACCTGAGTACTCTGATGAGCGGACTGAGCTGACCGACTGCTAGAGCCTCTGCCATAATGGTTCATAGCTGAAGAGTAAAATCCACTGAACCCTCCATTGCTTCGAGACCTTTTGGTCTCCTTATACTCCTTTTCCTCAGCTAATACGCCCTCGATTCTCCTCGCAATCTCCACTACTTGTTGAAATGGAATATCGGTTTGCAACTCTTGAGCCATGCATATTTTAATATCATAATCGAGTCCCTCAATGAAACTGCGGACCCGCTCTTTGACGGTAGGAACCAAAGCAGGTGCTCGACGAGCTAACTCACTGAACTTGATGGCATATTCTGACACTGTGATTGTGCCCTAACGTAACCGTTCAAACTCTATGGGCCACGTATCTCGAAAAGTCTCACGAACAAACTCTTTCAAAAACATTTCCGAAAATTGAGCCCAAGTTGGTGGTATTACATCGACTGGTCTACCTTCTTCATAGACTTACTACCACTGATACGCTGCTACTGACAGCTGAAATGTAGTAAAGGCGACTCCACTTACTTCCACAATACCCATGATGCGCAGAATACGGTGACACTTTTCTAGAAATCCCTGAGCGTCCTCTGTAGCTGTGCCACTAAAAGTAGGTGGGTCAGACCTCTTAAACCTCTCAAGTCTCTTTTGTTCTTCTTCTTATGCTCTTGGCCTGACCTCAGGCTGAATCGGAATGATAGGCTGTACCGGTACTACACTCGAAACTTGACCAATGTGAACCTGCTGCTCAGGAGTACGGGTTGTAGGAGTCTGAGCTACTCCTCCTATCTGCGAATTATTTGGTGAAATAGAGATCAGTCCCGCCTGAGTTAATGTACCAAACATATTTAGGAACTGTGCTAAAGTCCCCTGAAGTCCGGGGGTAACCATATGTGTTTCTGGTACATGTCCTCCAACTGGAGCTATTGGCGGCTCCTCAACTGCTGCTCTGAAGGTGTTCTAGTTGTGACATGTGCCCTACCTCGGCCCCGACCTCTTGCGGCCCTAGCAGTATGCGCGGGTGTCTGTTCAGCTGACCCCGTAGCACGTGTCCTCGCCATCTGTGAGAGAATAGAGATGCAAAGGCTCAAATTCCACAATCAACAAATCCGCACGAAAGGAATGAAAGAAGTGGAAATTTCCTAACAGATCTGTAGCCTCTCGAAGATAAGTATAGACGTCTCCGTACTGATCCGCAAGACTCTACTAAACTCGTTCGTGACTCGTAGAACCTATGGACCTAGAGCTATGATACCAACTTGTGACGACCAAAAATCCCACCATAAGTGTCGTGATGGCACTTAGTCTCTAAGACTAAGTAAGCCGATTGTAATAACAATTCAAGCCATTTTTTTATTTTATATATAATCGAAACCAACAGCGAAAATAAATATACAATCTCCCAAGACTGGTAGTACTGAGTCACGAACTCTAACTGAATACATGAAATGATCTGAAGGAAATTAAATATACAATACTGCTCGAATAATAATAATTAACGGTACGACAAAAGGGAAAGACTCCAAAGGACTGCGACGACCAAGGAGCTCTACCTTGAATCCTTGAAATCAAACTCTAACTCTATCCAAGTCCTATATCTCCAATACCTGGCTCTGTACATAAAAAATTGTACATAAGTGTAGTATGAGTACACCACAGCGGTACCCAGTAAGTATCAAGACTAACCTCGGTGGAGTAGTGACGAGGTACAGTCAAGACACTCACTAGTCTAACAACCTGTGCAATATAGTATACAAAAAATAATAGGAAACAGATAACGATAATGGAAACAATAATCAACCACTGATATAAACGGCAGGGCAACAAGAATGCCATAAATATTGCTCAACGAATAATGAATACGAGTGCAATCAATTAATCAAGTACTTCAAATATAATTCTTTCGCCTATACATCTTTCAAATAATAATCTTTAGGATATAATATTTTCTGATAAATATATTTCGAATACACTTCCTTCAAATAATTATCTTTCTAATATAATTCTTTCAAACAAATATCTTCCCAATATAATTCTTTCAACAAATATCTTCCGAATATAATTCTTCCAAATAAATATCTTTTGAATAAAAATTCTTTCAAATAATATTTTTCGAATATAATTCTTTCAAATAAAAGTCACCATGTGACACCTCATTTCAAATCATATAATACGGGTCTCAGCCCATTTTCATATTTCCAAGGCACCTTGTGCCAATATTACTATCACAACCGCACGGACAACTCACGTGCCAATATCGTTATCATTTACTCACGACACCTCGGGCCCATATTTCATATCACCACTGCACGGAAAATTCACATGCCAATAATAAATTCATCATATCTCACCGGCACCTCATGCCCATATCATAATCCGCCCGATAATATTCACAAGCTCATAATTTCAACATATATATCTGACTATTATCAAATTTACGAAATT